CTGACCGATACCAACCATGTCCTACCACAGACGGTGTCTATAGCTCACCAGTGTCACTCCATACATGTTCATCATCACCCAGTAGATCGCGCTTCACATCGGCAGACAGCGTAGTCTTACCAGTACCTACAGAGACATGAATAATAATTCAAAACTGCGCAAGTTCGTCGCCCGTCCCACCAGACAGGCCGAAAAATAGCGTCACGTCCTTGTTCTCGCGCCCCACGTTGCAAGAGGAGTGTAGTGGCAATTGCATCTTCATCGGCATCGCATACCTAATCACCATCCCAGCCACTAGATACGATACAGGGAACCGGGCAACGAACGCGGCTAATAATGGAGGAGTGACCCGAGGATGGTGACGAGTAGAACAAAACACGAGCGAGGAGCCGACAGGGTCCACATAGATCGACTTACATCATTAAAGTGAGAATGCCTTTCTTCATCTCCCCAGCATACTCCGTGCCCAAGATGACCATCTCTCTACGTTGGAAATGTACACACACGGAAGTACCTGTCGAAACATGAGAGTAATTCTCGGCGGCACACCAACCACGCCGAGTCCCTCACTTACTGCTGGTCATTCCAGAGGTAAAGCGATTCGCCGGGAAGCAGCCGGCGTTGTATATGATGAAATCGGGATTCCCAAAGTCCTTCAACTGCTCAGGTGTCGGCATCACGAGCATGTTTTGCATAAACAGAGCATGATACGCCCTAGAGGTAATCACGCGAATCTGAAATTAACACATATGAGAAATCGCCGAATCCAAATGTCCCGAGTTGCAACACGAGTGAGCAGCATATGGCTTACCTTGATTCTATACGTCTCGCACCAGCCCGCAAAGGCATCGATGACGTACAGCTGGTCTCGAGTGTTGAGATAATCAATAGCACGCTCACGGTTGGTGAGGAACGCCTCGTCATTCAACTTGATATTCACCTGGAACAAAACGGGTTGAAGATTCGTATCAATTTCATAGTCTCACCTTTCCCCACCAAATCTCGTTAGTGAATGCCCAGTGACCGACAGGACTGTCGACTATACGCTTGTCACTCGGAGATCGTCCTGTCTTACGACCACTGCTCACGGCCAATGCACCAGTGCTTGTGATGAAGGAACCCTTCTCGTGCTTCAAAGCCTGCTCGTATCTGATCGACGCACGTCATATGTGACAAAATCACAACATGTACTCACAGAATTGGCGGAGCGGAGTTATGGAAGATGGTCTCAACCATGAGCCCTTGTTCATTCATCTCCTTCTCGAACTGAACCTTGCTCGTGAATTGAGATAAATCGAATGCATCAGACTTGGACATAACCTGACCAACATGGACTCAAAACTTAACTTTTATGAGTACAGAGGAGGCGAAGGGCTTACCGGGGCATCGCTGTGGCCGACATGTGTCTTGAGATTTTGCTCGATCTGTTCCTTGAGGAGCTCGAGGAAAGTGTGGGGATCGTTGAGCATGTTGGACATTGGCAGAAAAGGGAAAGACGAGAACCTCAACTGAACTGTATCCAGAACCTGTCACCAAATCTCAGAATCGACAACAACATCCAGGATTGACGCCACAAGCGAGTGATCAAGAGCACAAGACCAGAGAGCAAGTACGGCCTGGCATGAGGGGTGACACGAGGAAGGGGACGGCGTAAGTGATATACGACTAAGTAGCCGACGAGCCATCAACGACGGCTAGCTTCTTCCAAGCAGATGACGACCTCAAGTAAGGCACAAGGAACTGAACGGTAGAGCTGGGGAGGCAGTTAAGTTGAAGAATGCATGCATGCGGTTGAACGAAACGCAGACACCGATGCGCGGCGTCAATCGCGCGCGCCCAAGTGATCGATTGAGGAAGAGTCCACGATGCTTGTGCCTACCTCGGCCGTCAACTCCACTCAGCATGTCGATATCTAAACTACGGTTGACGACTAATAATATTACAACGAGAGGAATTCAGAACTGCTCTGTCGTGATCAGGCTTGCAGGCTCTTCCTCATGTTATCCTCTGGAGCGGCGGTCGCAGCTGCTGTTGTTGTTACCACCCAGGGTGGAAACGGCTCGGGTCTGTTGCTGGGTGGGGGCGGTAGTCATAAGAGAAGAAGGATCAATATGGAATCGGATAGTGAAGATTCTGATGACGATTCCGATGACGATAAACCCATCAACAGAACCGTACTCGGGGGGGGGGAATTCTTTTCGAGATTTTATTATGAATAAATTCCTTTTGTCAGGCACTGAGTTCTGCGGCCGGCTCGCCTGCTATAACGGGAGATAATATAAGTGGAGTTACGAGTAAGCGTCAATTCGATCTGCTGAGGTGGATGATGTCCTCTAGCCCCCACACCTCCCACTAGGGCATTGGTAAAGGACGAAGTATCATCGACGACGACGCCCAACAGAACTGCTGCCTCACTGGATGATCGGATTAAGTCACCCGAAGTCGCCTCGGATGTGAGGGCTTTCTGATTCCAACCAACCACAGAATGGTGCTGCTTAGTAGGCCCCTCAAACGTCGTCAACTTCATCGGAGTCTTCTCCCGATCATAGTACGTCCCCAGATGAAGACAACAGCTCTGAAGAGAGCGATAATCAGCCTATCATAAAACGGCGAGTGAGAGCTGCTCATCGCAAGGTGATACTATCGCCTATATATCTCTAATATGCCGCAAGGTAACAGGTGTTGAAGTATACGGAGGATGAGGAGGATAGTGATGATGACGATACTGGGGACTCAGACGCCCAGGATGATGATGACGATGATGATGATGATGGTAACTTAGTGATGGAAGAATAGACGCTGGATCGGTAGCAAGGTTCTTCTCATGAGGAGTTGTCAACTCCCGCACGATCTTCCAAGGGTCGACGACGACGAACCCGTCCGAAGTCAACCGAGGACGAACGGGCAAAGAAGAAGTCTCGAGCGGAGAAAAAAGTGAAGCGGGAGTCTAGTGAGTTATCATCACCATCCCTAAAAACATTGTAGTCTCGTTTTAAGGTGTGGCGACTCCGGTTCCTAAAAAGAAGATAAATCGGTCGGAAAAGGAACAGCTCGTGAGTGAAGTACTCTGTCGTTGGTGGTAGGTCGTCGTCGTCGTCGTTCCCATTCGTCTGCTATTTCCCATGCAATAGGTATGCCATGCCTCCCTGGCCACCGCTTGATTATGACTATGAGAAGGAGCTCAATCGACGAGGCTTTCGGTAATCTCGACTCAGTGTGATTGATATATTACGTCATACACAGGATCGTCACCTTACAGGACTGGGAGGAAGAGGCGGACCTTGATAAGGAAGGCCGTGCTAAGGTGTATGCCCTATCGCAGGTGAGATTTGACATGTGTGTTGGGCGGGATCACAGTTCCTCGACAGTTCCCTGGCATCTATCGGGCGTATGATCGTCGATTGATCGATGTGCGACCGAATGAAGGGAAGCCTAGTTTTAACAACCTGATGAATTCAACTACTGACAAACTGAAAGCTCTTCTTAGGGAAGCCATAAAGAGTGAGTACCCTCACCGAATAGGTGTTGTTCTAATCTGGATCACCTCAGATCAGCTAGCCGAGCTACGGGCTCAACCGTCGTTCAAACGGCCTGGGAATGGTGATGAGGAGCTGGAGAGAGATCTTGTGGTCAGAGGCAAACGATTGGGGCTTAAGGATGGGAGGTGACACTTACGTAATGATGATGAATAACAACAATGGCATTTACGATATTTCACTGCTATGCGAATGTTGTGTCCTCCTATGTTGAAGTGGCAATTCATAGTAAAGCTAGAGAAAAGGTGTAGTAGGCAAAATATGTCTATTTTGATACCATCACGACGATGACGATTTTCCCATAAGTCGTCACTAACTCAACACCAAAGAGTGTCACCATTTTTTACTCCTTTTGCTAGTCGATACACTAGTACCAGCACGTCGTCCCCTCTTCTTGGGCCTCCTTGATGAACTACCACCATCAACACTACTATCAGGTGGAGTAGCACTAAAACCCCAATTGTCATCCTAAGACCATCACAATTCATTCAATCAACGACGACGACGACCAGGTCGGTACTACCGGTGATCGCCCATCGTTAGGGCTGTCCTCGCCTAAACTGAGGAGCTTGCTGAGCTCCTTAGAAACGTCTATTCTCAGCCAATCTTGGACCTAACCAACAACATCATGTAAAAAGCGCACGCCCGAAATTCACATACGGAAGATTTGCAAAATAGAGTATTGTCATCGAGCTCTCTCAATATGAACCCGCCCTTTGAACCAACCGTGGAGTTCAAATGTCTGAGATGAACGCATGCGTGCAAATGGCTACTGTTGCTCACTTGCAAATGGCTATGATTGCCATATCGCCCTTGACTACAACTCCCTCTTGCGGGTTGAGGATAGCTCTTGTGGAGGGCGAGGGACCGAGGTCACTAGGAGGGGATGATGAGATGGGAGAGTGGTATGGCGCACCAGTGACCCGACCGGGGACAGACATGTACGGGGAAGTTAAGCAAAACTGGAGGAATAGTCGAAGACAAAATAGGTGTATCTGTTCACTATGCTCAGCGGGCGCCTCTTAATGTGAAAACCGTTGAAGGCGTACCACTCCAACTTGAAGTATACTGATATTGGAGGATAGCCACCTTTGGAACGTCCATCAACACTAGTGACTTCACGCTCGGGAGCTCTGCACACCCACCCCATACTAGCTCAATCGTAATACTACATCGCGGTTTATGACACCGTTAGGCCTACATGAGTTCCAGACTGACATTGCCCTCAAACGCCCTAACCCTCCCTAATAGACCTCTAGTCAGCTCCTGTATACTAACTGCAGTATCAAGGCTAGCTCGCTATCACTGCAGCTAGAGCAGTTCCGCCCTACACTTTATCAACATCTGTAGGAATGAGCATCAGGACTGCTCCAATGCCCAGGCCATACATCGCCATCTGAACCCTCTGATCCGTCAGCTTCACAAGGACAGGGGCGGAAATATATATATGCTATATACCTATACGCTCGTGGCAATGTTTACATTCTATCTGTGAAACATCAGAGCGATTACCATCAATCTCAAGAAAAAACGCCCATTTTCTACATTTGCATATCAAATTGGCACGCACTTTATGTTTGCTTTCCTCAGCTCCTGAGCTCAAGAATTTCCGTACTACGTTATGAAAATTCACACACGACTTAGTGTAGAAATGTACGAAAACCAACTATAATTTCCCAAAATTCCCTCCCAGAATTTTCATATTCCTACCAACACATGTAGTTGACCATGTGCATATTCCTTCACACTGCCCAGCTAAGTCCCCATCACTCTAAGTACTTCAACTATCAAAACATACTCTATAGTGGCATGAAGTTGATCACCAGGGCATTAATACTACTACCCCGCAATGCTGCAAACTCACCCTTCATGTGCCCATCAGTGAGTATGCAAAACGGCACTCGAAACTATAACTCAAGATAGAACAAGTATTCACCACCTGCGAGAACTCTGCAGTCAAGAAAAACACGATAGCAAAGTCCACTTATTTTCACTCCCTCCCCACTATGTGAGATGCATTCTCAGTTTTACATACTTCTATCCCTACTACTGCTAACGCGAGCTTTCCTAATAATCAGTTGGAAACTATGTAAAGTAAACTTGACAGCCTAGAAGTTATTCGGCTGATCTGAGTCTTCCGCCTCGCTGTCAAAAACTGCGAGAGCTCCCGTCGTGAGAATTATATTTTCTCTGTAAGCGACTTCCGGAGCTACAACGCAGCCCAGCAGTTCTCCATACCTTTACCAAATCAATAGGAAGACCCTTGTTCCCTTTGAACTCACTCGGACGATTTATGTCCTCTGATTTTCTCCACTTCAAAATCTCGAAGGTTTACCACACCTCGAGCGATTTCCTCGCCGGTTTCAGCCTCGACCAGCGACACGCAATCATCACGATGGAAACTGCCTGTGACGCGAGTGATCCCTACAACGTATTCACCAATAATAGCACTCTTGCAGCCTCGCCTTTACTACCCGCAGCGAATAGACTCTTCTTCCTTCTTATCGCCTCAGCAGCTCCCTTATCCAGGCTTATTACACCCCTAGTCTCGAGCCCTAGCATCCAACGTCTCCTCCAGGTCATTTTAGATACAGCGAACTGCATGCCATCAGGAGCAACTTTGAACACGGTCATGAGGCCCTTGCTAGATCCATCCCGGAGGTATTCCAGTACCTCAGCAACTTATTACCACATAAGGACAGCCCCCTACTACTACTACTACTACTATTACTACTACTACTACTACTACTACTGCTACTACTACTACTA